AGCCAGGAGGTGTAGGGGAGTGGGGAGGGCCGTCAGTGTCAGCCATGAGCGCCTGCATAGCCAGGAGGTGGAGGGGCAGCCCATGAGTGCGAGGCCCTGGCAGCTCAGTTTCCCACACTTCACTGTATGCAGCTTAACTCTTGGTCCTTGTTCTGAGGGTTGGAGGGGAGAGGCTGCTGCACTGTGAAAAGGGGGTTTAGAGTCCTTGTACCCTTTTAGAATGTGTGCTTCTTGGCCACAGGTGACCTCAGGTGCTAGGATGGAGGCTGGCACGGAATGGAGTGGAGGAGGTGTGCGCTCGCTGGAAGCGGCCTCATTCTTGATCTTGTCTCTTGTCTCCCTGCAGTGGGCTACCTTGAGAATGGAGAGGGGAGCCAAGGAGAAGAACCACCAGCTGTACAAGCCCTACACCAATGGTAAGGCTGGGCCCTGGCCTCGTCGTGAGCGGGGCACGTGGGGAGCACCCCGGGGCCTTGCATCCAGTGCACACTCTTCCGATGTGCACGTGTCTGCTGCCGTCCCCAGCCTGCCTTCTGAGGGGGTGTGCTCTCTCACAGGGATCATTGCAAAGGATCCCACTTCTCTTGAAGAAGAGATCAAAGAAATCCGTCGCAGTGGAAGTAGCAAGGCTCTGGACGACACTCCTGAGTTCGAGCTCTCCGACATTTTCTACTTCTGCCGGAAAGGAATGGAGACCATTATGGATGACGAGGTGACTAAGAGATTCTCAGCAGAGGAGTTAGAGTCCTGGAACCTGCTGAGCAGAACCAATTACAACTTCCAGTACATCAGCCTGCGGCTCACGGTCCTGTGGGGCCTGGGGGTGCTGGTCCGCTACTGCTTCCTGCTGCCGCTCAGGTGAGCACACGGCAGCTCAGCTGGCCGCCCCGGCCTGCCCCTTCAGAGGGAAGGGGCATGAGAGTCCCACTGGCCAGGCCATCGACTCTTGGGAGGGGAAACTGGTGATTGTCCTCTAAACGCCCTTGACTCCCAGTGTATCAGACAGAAATAGTTTGGTTTCTTAAAGACAAATTGCCTGTTGAGGTGGACCTAGTGCAGGGACAGGGATGCCACTGGGCCCTGGGCACGGCTCCTCCTTCCTGAAGCCTCTGCAGTGTGGAGGTGACAGTGAGCTCAACTTCAGTGTGAGCATGTGTCTTCTGGGTGTCCTGCCAGGTACCTTTAGGCGATGCCTCCTGTTGCTCCACAGAGAAACTGGGCTTCTGCCAGAGTTTTACGCCAAAGGGCAGGATAGGACAGCAGGGTGGCAGTGCCTGCGGGCAGGACAGCCAGCTGCAGGGTTTTCACTGTTCTAGCTGTACTGCCTGAGGAGAGGGAGTCAGCCAAGAGCCAGACCACAGTTCACTGTCAGCTTGGACTCAGAATGCTCTCTGCTTCTCACAGGCCTGCTGTGTGTCTAGGTGGAACTCTTGTCCGACTCTGAGGTGCCCAGAGCTTGGAGGAGGTTTTCTCGATGCCCACTTTGATTTTTACATGTCAGTTTGTACTTATCTGCACTTGTCTGCTGTGTTCTCATCTGTCATCTTGTTACAGGATAGCTCTTGCTTTCACGGGGATCAGCCTTCTGGTGGTGGGCACCACCGTGGTGGGATACTTGCCCAGCGGGAGGTGAGTAGAGTGCAGGAGCCACAGCTGTAGGACAGTCGGCTCTGGGAACAGTGGCTCAGAGAGGATCAGCCACTTACTTGGGTACAACCAAATCCCTGGAACTGAGATGGATAAAAGTAGCCCAGTGGTAACAGTGCCACCAGCAGTAAAGTTTTTTACTTTTTCTACTTGATCTGAGGCTATTCTTTCTGCCCTCCAGCCCTTATATTTGTCTTACTTTAAAGATAAAGGGGAGAGGCCACAAAAATGTCGAGTCCAGGACTCAGATGTTCACAGATGTTGTGGCATGTGTAGCGTTGAGCATTCTAGTGTGTTAATAGTGAAAGGATAAGGTTATAGAAAATAATTTGAAATGTAGGTAGGTTTTGTTTGTCTTTGTTTTCCAAGAAAATTTGCTTCCTGCGGGGAGCTGTGAAGCTAGTAAGTCAGTAAACTTAGTCTCTTCCACCGAGGTACTAGGTTGGACCCTCGCCTTGGCCTGCCTCTGGGTGTTGATGGGGAGGGGCTCTAGGAGACACCGGGCCTGCCTGTGCCAGCCATTGTCGATTGTCGGGCTATGAATTCTCAACCTATTAACTTTTGTGAATATAAGCAAGTCTCATTGTTACTTCTTTGTTTCCTCATAGGTAAACATAAAGATATTGATGTGTGACAGGATTTTAAACCATATGTATTAAGCTATGTTGGGTCATGGCTATAATCCCACACTCTGGGAGGCCTAGGTGGGTGGATTGCTTGAGCTCAGGAGTTTGAGACTGGCCTGAGCAAGAGTGAGACTCCATCTCCATAAAAATAGAAAAATTAGGCTCCGGGTCTGTAGCTCAGCAGCTAGGGCACCGGCCACATTCACCCAAGCTGGTGGGTTTGAATCCAGCCCAGACCTGCCAAACAACGACAGCTATAAGAAAAAAATTAGGCGTTGTGGTGGGCGCCTGTAGTCCCAGCTACTTGGGAGGCTGAGGCAAGAGGACAGCTTAAGTGCAAGAGTTTGAGTTGCTGTCAGCTGTGATGTCACGGTACCCTACTGAGGGTGACAGAGTGAGACTGTCGCAAAAAAAAAGTGGGTCACTATGGAAGTTTTGAGACAGACTGTGTTGTGATCCATTATTTCACTTCCAAGAAACACAGTTGTCGGTGTCCTCTCTGCTCCCCCGGCAAGTGTCAATTTGCTGGGCTTATCAGCTTTGCTGGGACGGCTTCGTTTGTTTCCACCTGCACAGATTTTACGTTTCTTGATTTTTATGTATCTCAGAACTTTTGTAATGACCCACTTTTTTATACAGATACTTTGCACTCATAAAGGGCTGTGAAATTGTTGGGGTCTGCAGCTTTTCCCGTCTTCCTCTGTGTAAAGCACAGCTCAGCGTCCTTGTCGTGTTGCAGGTGTAAGGAGTTCCTCAGCAAACACGTGCACTTGATGTGTTACCGGATCTGTGTGCGAGCACTGACAGCCATCATCACCTACCATGACAGGTGGGCTCCGTGCTGAGGACGAGGGGGTGGCCCTGGCCAGAGCCACCGCCCCCTGTACTGGGCCCAACAGGAATGCTCGTGGGGGCTGGGGGGTGTGTTCTGAATGAATTGTCTCACACTAATCGTCATTGCTTTCCATACATTTTAAACCAGGGAAAACAGACCAAGAAATGGTGGCATCTGTGTAGCCAATCACACCTCTCCTATTGACGTGATCATTTTGGCCAGTGACGGGTATTACGCCATGGTGAGATCTCTGCTCTTGGGTTCCTGAGGCCAGGCCTCTTTACTTCAGACGGGGAAGGAGGGAGGCTTCTGGGCCCTTCACAGAGCACTTCCTAAGGGTGTAACCTGGGGTTATGCACCAGCCCCCGACTTGGATCATCTCTTGGTAGGAGACACTTAGCAGAGTGATGTGGATAAGCTCATGGGGGTGGAAGTGGGGTGGGCCTTTGAGAATCTGAGCGTTGACACAGGGAGGGCTTAGCTTTATTACTTTGCTTTAGGGTTTTCAGTTATATTTCTGATATTACTGAAGAAAAGGAGAAATTTAAGATTGGAGGATTCTAGTAGTGAATCTAGTAGGTTCTAGTAGGTTTTTTGACAGTGAGAAACCTGCAGTTAGCAATCGAATGTCCAAGGTTGCAGAGTGTGGGGAGGACTTGAGTGAGGATGGCTTGCTCCTCATGACTTATTTGTCTGGGTTAGGTGGGGCAGGTGCACGGGGGACTGATGGGCGTGATCCAGAGAGCCATGGTGAAGGCCTGCCCGCACGTCTGGTTTGAGCGCTCCGAGGTGAAGGACCGCCACCTGGTGGCCAAGAGGTAAAGGGCGAGTGCTGCTCCCGCGTGTGGCCCTGTGAAGAGCACAGGTTTCAGGGGGGGTGGATCCTCACAGTGGGACTCTGCTGCTTCCACAATGAGCCTATGTACTGTTTCTCTCTATATAGTAATTTTTTCCCTAAAACATAGAATATAAAAAGTATAGAAACCTTAGTGTTATTTACCAAGTTAATAATGGTTCCTAACTTTTTAAATTCATCTACACATTGTAATAAAATATGAACTTTTACTCTTTTACTCTTATTTGAAATGTCAGAATGAATCCATTATCACAAAAACTAGCTTAAGACCAGGGAAGAAAGTTCTGCTGTGTTTTCAAACTTAAAAAACAAGGTGAATCAGGTGTAAGCAATGCTAAGAGATTTGCAGTGGACTTCGTGAAGGCTTGGTTGAGACCATCTTCCATAGGGTCAGATGAACCCTCCCCAAATTCTCTCCGCTGTATCTCAGGGTCAGAACATGGTCCAGCAGAGCTGTTAAGCAGCAGGCAGCAGATACATGGAGGGGGCCTCCTGCAGGGCCCTGAGGTGACTAGTGCCTCTGTGCACAGATGTTAATACCAAATTGAACATTTATATGAATTAGATAGCCGTCATCTGACTTTCTCTCCCCTTAAGAATTTATGAGCTTTAGGTTGTGGGTTTAAGAAGGATTGGGTCATAATTGTTAACTTGTTTTTACATATCTAAACTATGTCACATAAAAATCGGTTACTTATTGGTGAATGCATTTTGACAATAATGGGTGTGAGATTGTCTCACATGTCCTTTTCCTTTCCTTTTCTAAAGACTGACTGAACATGTGCAGGATAAGAGCAAGCTGCCCATCCTCATCTTCCCAGAAGGTAGGAAGGCCGCCTGCCGCTGAGAGCTTGGGGCATGTGGGAGCACGGCTGTGGGCTTGCTGGGAGCCAGGCCCCTCGGCCCTTGCTGGGGTTGTCTGCTTTCACTGTTAGGTCGATTGTAGAACTGAGAACTCAGGGAGATGCAGAGTTGGAGGTGAGTGTGCCATGCTGTGAACTTGCCGAGTGCAGGAGTCCTTCTGTGGTGTCACCAGCAGCATCTCCCCGCTCCTTGGGGAGCTCTGAAGGAGTTTCCCATTGGCTGAGAGAGGCCCTTAGTCTAGGCTAGTGTGTTCGTCAGGGAAGATGGTCCTGTGAAGAGAGGAGGGTAACACTGCAGTCTTAACTGTCTACTTAAGCGTTTATTCTAAGTTAGGTACATGATAGATTTATCCTGTTTGAGGAGCTGTTAGAAGAATTTTGATTACTATTATGATTTACTAGTGATCCATCTTGGGAAATTGAGAAATAAACTTTCTTTCCTTTTTTTTTTTTCTTTTTTAGAGACAGAGCCTCACTTTGTCACCCTCAGTAGAGTGCTATGGTGTCATAGCTCACAGCAACCTCCAGCTCTTGGGCATAGGCGATTTTCTTGCCTCAGCCTCCCGAGTAGCTGGGACTACAGGTGCCCGCCACAATGCTTGGCTATGTTTTTATTGCAGTTTGGCCAGGGCTGGGTTCAAACCCACCACCCTTGGTATATGGGGCCAGTGCTCTACTCACTAAGCCACAGGTGCCGCCCAAGAATTTTGATTATTATATTCAGTCTTTAGGAAACTCTTAATATCTGGAGTAAAAGAGCAACAAATAGCATTTTACTCTTCCCTGTCTTGTAGGAACCTGCATCAATAATACATCAGTGATGATGTTCAAGAAGGGGAGCTTTGAAATCGGAGCCACAGTCTACCCTGTTGCCATCAAGGTACAGACTTTCAAGGGTGCACGTTGTTATCATTGTGGCTGCCATGAAGGGGCGCAGGAGGGACAGGGGCTGGTACCACTGGTGCTCAGTTCTCTGCAGAGCAGCTTGGGGTTGGGCTCACGTGGGTAGACTGCTGGGGAGGGGAAGGCTGATGGTGCATAAGCCCCTTAAAGGCCTGGAGTGTGTGGACGCGGAGCAGCCTTGTGGGAATGGGGTGTGGCTGCCAAGCAGGGTTTGCAACCATAGGGCAAGGTGAGGGTGGGCAGGTCTTTATGCCAGTGCAGTGGAAGAAACCACTCCACTGCTCTGGGTTGTGGCCTCACCGCACGTACCAGCAGGCCATCACAACCAAGTGGATCCTGAGAGTTCATCTAATCTGTCCTCACTCTTCAGGACCTCAAGCTCCTTAGGAAGATGGGACGTAATCAGCCAGTCGTTTTTGTTTGGTTCCTCCTTTCTCTCACCTCTCCTCTACCTGATTTCATAAGGAACCCAGGGCTCACATCATTATTCCTACAGAATACAGGCTGCAGTGTGGCAGAGTATTGTGGCTGCACCTGAGAGCAGGCAAGACAGGGCACAAAGCTGAGTCAGAGTGTGCTTGGAATATAGTCTCCATGTTTTAGCAGGTGTCTGGGTTTCGTCTGAAGAACACTCTGTAGATAGAGTTCTGAGGTTCTTTTCCCCTGTCACGGCTGTGGGGAGAGGTGTTCCTCTTGGTTAGGTAAGTGCTTGCCAGCCAGAGGTCCAGGGCAGGTGTGGCCGCTGGACACTGGCTGCAGAGGGACTCTGAGGGATGTTTGCTGAGGATGCCGTGTCTGGGAACATAGTCTGGGAGCAGGCAGGGACCACCTGGGTGTGGGCCTGAGTGTGCGGTCGGCATTGTCTGGGGTGTGCAGCGGCCAGGTCCTTTACGGTGGGTGTGGATTAAGCCGTGGGCATCACTGTCTGCACACTGGTGGCCTTATGCTAAGTTATCATCCCCTGGAGGGGCTGGGGAGACACCCAGAGTTTGCGTTTTTGTTCTAACGTTAGTGCTTCTGGGCGGTGTTGATGGTGCTGGAGCCGTGGGCCCTCAGGAGCTGCGACTTCTCTCCAGAGTGAAATGCACAAACACCCACATGTCCTTTCCTCCAGTCCACAGAGGAAAGCCGAGCCTGGCTGGCAGGTTCTTTCCTCATTTTTGTGAAGCCTATGTTGGTAGCCAGACCGGCTTACCTTAGCAGTTTTAACAATTATATTTCCACCACATCATTATCTGGTTTTGAGGAACTTATTGCTATTTCAGGCTTTTGCCTTGTTTTTGTTTCTGCAGTTCCTATCTGCCCAGCCTGGAGTAAGAATCGGCCCTAAGCCAGGGGCTCTGACCTGTCACTCAGAAGTTGCCATCCACACTGTGCTTTGTAAACACAGTGGCTCTTATTTCTAATGACACGTATCATCAGGTGTATGTGTAATTTCATTTGGGTATTGTGAACTTACTAATAAGCCTTTGGTAATAAACCTAAATTTCTTAGTTTCTATAATTAAGTTTGAGTGGTTTTTTTGTGTTTAGGCCATAATCTTGGCAAAATTTCTAATTTTTATTCTGAGAATTTTAAAACTTAGGCTGGCAAAGCCTGTAAGATCAAACCCACACATGCCCACACAAGGTCTCCACGGCAGCACCTGCCTGGTGCTCCTTTCCATCTCTTTGAGGAGGGGAGTTTTTGGGGTTTTGTTTTCTTTTCGAGACAGAGTTGTTGTCTGTCCCCTAGGCTAGAGGGCCATGGCATTACAGCTCACAGCAACCTCCAGCTACTGGGCTCAAGCTATCCTCCTGCCTCAGCCTCCCAAGTAACTGGGACTACAGGTGTGTGCCACTAAGCCTTACTCTTTTTTTTTTTTTTTTTTTTTTTGAGACAAAGAGTCTCACTTTGTTGTCCTGGCTAGAGTGCTGTGGCGTCACAGCTCACAGAATCTTCAAACTCAGGGGCTCAAGTGATCCTCTTGCTTTAGCCTCCTAAGTAGCTGGGTCTACACGCACCTACCACAACACCCAGGTAGTTTTTAGAGATGGAGTCTTGCTCAGGCTGGTCACAAACTCAAGTAATCCACCTGCCTCAGCCTCCCAGAGTGCTAGGATTACAGGCATGAGCCACTGTGCCCGGTGGCTAATTTTTCAATATTACTTAGAGATGGGGTCTTGCTTTTGCCCAGCTTGGCCTCAAACTTCTGAGTGCAAGTGGTTTTCCCACCTCAGCCTCTCAAAGTGCTAGGATTATAGGGTGAGCCACCGCACCCAGGCGAAGAGGCATTTTTGACATTGGTGGCAGCTTGGTCCTGTGGGATAATCCTTGAAATTGTCTCCTTTGAGTTTTCTACTCTTGGTCCTGGGCACGTGCTCTGTGACCGCACAGAGCTTTATCTGCAGTAGGTCTTCAGACACCTGTAAGTCCCTCCCCTTGACAGCCTGGCTCTGCTGCTGCTCCTTGTCCACTGCCTCCCTGCCACTTGAATGTTTCATATTGCAAGAAGAGCTGCTGGCCGTGGACACATTTCCTGATGCCACTGAAGGTGCAGCCCTTGTCTCCTCATAGCTATTGACAAACGAAGCACCGGGTGCCCCTGTTTCCTGGTGAGCAGAAGGGGGCCTGCGTGTGAGGCCCGCCACTGTGGGGGTGTGCCATGCACAGCGGCACCTGATGAGCCTGCGTGCTTGGTGAGGAGTGCACACAGAAGCACGTCATAAGCTTTCTGATTGTCTCCTGCTTGGTCTGGTACCAGAAAGGATGTGAAAAAGTTGGTGGTTAGAAAATACTTTTATCAGCCAAATGACAGGCTATTGGAGCCAGACCTCACGGGGAGAGATGAGCAGGTGTGCGGAACGTTGGTGGTTGCCGACACTGGGGAGCAGGGGTGGGAGTATGTTCTCCCATCTCTCTATTTTGAGGTGTAATAATCGAGCAGACATACCTGTGAGTAAGACCTGAAACCAGTCAAAGAGGGAGCACTTTGCTTGAGGAGGGCTGCTAGGGGGTTAGTAGCAAAGGCTGGGTGGGCGGGAGACCTGCAGGGCCTGGGGTCCACTTCTGCCCAGTGGGTCCATTCACACAAGCTGCTGTTGACACTCCTTGTTGTTAGACCCACACACCTTTTTAAAATTTTTCCAGATTAACCTGAGGGTTCAAGCAACTAGGTTACAATATTTGCATTTGCCAGGGAGTCCCTCTTGTAGTGGAGTCCTGTCCCCTGGAGGTGTGCTGTACACCCTGACATTAAGGGAGCACAGCCATCCCCTCCCGCCTCCCCTCGTGCTCCACCCTTTCCTCCTAACTTGAGTTCTTCTCTTATGTAGGAGTGTATTAGACTGTCTCCTGGCCTCATATTAGTTAATGTTGAGTGCATTGGTTACTTGCTTTTCTATTCTTGTGACATTTCACTAAATGTTTCAGCTCCACCCAGGTTAATACAAAGGCTGTAAAGTCTCCATCTTTTGGCTGAATAATATTCCATGGTATACACATACCAGAGCTTGTTAATCCATTCCTGAGTTGATGGGCATGTAGGCTCTTGCCACCTCTTGGCAATTGTAAATTGAGCTGCAATAGTCTAGTGCAAATGTCTTCTGATAAAAGGATTTTGTTCTTCTGGGTAGATGTGCAGTAATGGGATTGCAGGATCAAATGGGAGGTCCAGCTTGAGTTCTTGGCGGGTCCTCCATGCGCGTGTTGTGACCCCCACCCCCCTGTCTTCCAGTATGACCCTCAGTTCGGTGATGCCTTCTGGAACAGCAGCAAATACGGGATGGTGACCTACCTGCTGAGGATGATGACTAGCTGGGCCATCGTCTGCAGCGTGTGGTACCTGCCTCCCATGACCAGAGAGGTAGAGCCCCAGCAGAGGCCCGCCTTCCCCTCCAGGTGCTGTGGCCTGGGCTGAGTGGTCTTGTTTGTTCTTTCTTACAGACAGATGAAGATGCCGTCCAATTTGCAAATAGAGTGAAGTCCGCCATTGCCAGGCAGGGAGGCCTTGTGGACCTGCTGTGGTGAGTTTAGAGCCTGACGGTATCAGCCAAGTCTAAGAGATATGAGTCTTCAAAGCAGGAGCTGAGTCATCAGCTGCACTGACATTTAATTCTCCTCGGTGTGGAAAATTAAACTTGCTGGCTCCAGGGGAGCAGTCAGAATTGTTTGCCTAGACCTCAGGAGTCAAGGTGCTGGACTGAAGCAGGTGACACTCCCCTTTGTGGGTTGGCCATCGTGTCAGGGCACCCCATGTTCTCATCAGGTGGAGATGCTCTGACGCTGATCTGAAAGCCTTGTAGGAGCGCGGACTTTTCCTGTCATTGTATTTGGCAAAACTGGACCATCCTTAGAAAGGCAGAAGTTTCTTTCATTGCATTTAGTTTGTTACCTAATTGAGCAGGAGTTGGCTTAGTTCTGTGAAGAGTAAGTGTTTTAGGCTTTGTGGACTGTATGGTGACTTCTGACTTACCTTTGCCATTGTCATGTGAAAGCATCCAGGACAGCACGTAAACAAACAAGTGTGGCAAGTGAAACTGTTTACCGAAACAGGTGTTGTTCTGGATGTACGGCCTGTGGCCATAGCTGACCAGCGTCCACTCTAGAGTAAGAGGTGGTTATGGCTCAAGTACAGGAGGTTGGTAGGGATGAACGCTGGTTCCTGGGAACTTTTTCACCCCTAACGCCCTTTGGTTTAAGTGCAAGCATCAGCTGTGAAGGGCATTTGACTTAGTTGGACGTTATGAGGAAGAAAAAGGAGAAATTCAAATTTTAACCTGAACCATGGATTCTCAGGGAATAGCCTGGCCCAGCATCTGTCGAGCCCCTGCTGTGAGCACTGTGTTGCTGGTGCTTGTGCAGTTACCTCATCTTCCCAGTCCCATCCTACAGACGAGAGACTGAAACTCAAGTCACTTTTTCCCAAAGTCTTAAAATGAGCATTGGAGCTGGGTGCTGAGCCCGTCAGGCAGGCTTCTCGGGCTTGAGACTCACCTCCACGTCCTCATGTCTAGGCCTAGCAGAGACAAGGTGGCTGCTTTGAAGAACACATCTTTGCTGTGGGCTTTAAAGGATGTAGCAGAAAGTTTTGTACGTTACTGGAGGTGGTGATAATTGTAGGGTTTGGGTGGAAGTGGGCCTGTGAAGAAGCCCCTGTAGCCTGGCAGATTGTGTTGCAGGGTGTTGCAGGGTGATGTGGGCCACAGAGGCCAGGACTCGGAGACACGGCCTGAGGAGCTTGAGCCTGCTCGTCCTGTGGTGCTGTCTCCTGAGCACAGAGGAGTAAGGACGTGCGGTTCCCCTTACGTTGGTTCTTTGTGTGCATTCACAGTACCCCTGGTCTGAAGTGCACAGACTGCATTTTACAGATCGATTTTTCAGAGCCTCAGTATTTCTTAAAGCGTGTTTCTCCCTTCCATGATGCCAGGAAGCCTCTTTTACTCTCTGTAAGGTGAAGGTGAATGTTGGAGTAAGAAGGATTTGTATGAGTGGTGAATTCTGGCCCTGGGGTAGAGAGGGTGGGTGAGGGCCGATTCCTGAGGTCATCCTAACGAGAAGGCCGTGCGCGGTGTGCTCCTGTTTCTGGGAGGTTTCCCTTGGGTTGACCTCCCTGTGGTGTGGGGGTGCCAGGAAGCCTTCTCTGCTGTGACGGCCGCCTTTCTCTGACAGGGATGGCGGACTGAAGAGGGAGAAGGTGAAGGACGCGTTCAAGGAGGAGCAGCAGAAGCTGTACAGCAAGATGATAGTCGGGAACCACCAAGACAGGAGCCGCTCCTGAGTGCCACCTCGTGCTGGCCAGCCACGCCCGAGTCCTGCCCGCGAGCCAGCTGGAGTTGCTGCCACTGCCGCCGCCCCCTGCTGCCTCCTCCCAGACTCAGGCTCTGCCAGGCTGCTCTGGCCTCGGGGACGCCAGCTGCCTAGAGCCACACCAGGAGCCCTCTGTGGCCTGAGCGAATCCTGGGTGAATACTGGGTGTCAACTGCCCAGGAGGAGATGCCTTCTTGTTTCTTTCACGATAAGTCCGTTGGAGGAACGCAATTAAAGTCAGCTGCGCCTGTGCGTGTGTGCAGGGCTGAGTGATTGGGAAGAACCGGTCACAGTCTCGTGTTGGGGGCGGCGTGATGTTGGTTTGTGATGAGTGCCCACGTGCCAGGGACTTTGCTGGGGGCACCTGGTCTTGCGAGAGGCACCGTGGAAGCAGTGTAGCTTGCTTCAGCCTGACCATCACCCCCAGCCTTGGAGGTCTGCAGACTTCGTAAAAAGAACAGTCTTGTCTGTAGGGGCTTTCAACAAAATGAAGGTTTTAAATTGTTGTGCTGTTGCTTATGGAAAGTTCTAGAGTGGGGGGAAGAGGCCAGTGGGCCGATGGCTGCGGTGAGACCTGTGAGTCCTTCTGTGTTCAGACTCCAGGGCCGAGCCTGAGTGCCCGTGGGACTCTTTGTTTAATGTGTGCCTCAGTTTCCCCATCTGTAACGTGGGTCAGGAGGGGGAAGGTGGGGACGCCTACCTCTCAGGGTGGTTGTGGGGATCAAAGTGCTCCCGTGAGTGAAGGACACGCAGTGTTCAGTGTTACAAGTTCAGGGCCATGGGATGGGGCAGGACGGGTTCTGAGCTCGAGCTGCACGGGGCTTTGGATTTGTTTTTGTGAGTAAATAAAATTGGATGGTGAATGAAGTGGGGGACTTTTCCATTCACTCTTTCTCCCTGGATGTAGCCATATATTTCCTATGAAGATTTCAGTTGTTTATTTCCTATTTCCTATGAAGATTACAGTTCTTAATTGATCATTACCCTGGAGTGTGGGTTCTCCTTGCCATCTGGGTGAGGAGTAGGGCAGTTGAGACAGGTTTGCCTGCCGCTGGTTCATCCAGGGTCCCAGCCTAGTCTCGGTTTCTCCACAGATGGGCGCCATGGAGTAGAGGAGAGTGAGCTGGGGAGACTTGAGGATGGCAGGTGTCTGGAAGTGAGGATGGGCCAGCAGTGAGGGAGCCCGTGGGAGGCTGGGGCAAGTGCCGGGGATGGGGGTGGGGGTGGGGATGTGCAGTAGGTTTCTACAAGGCCCCAGGGGTACTGCAAGTATTCCCAGCCTCCTGCTTGTGGCTGTGTTGAGGGGGAGTTCTTGCTTTTGGGGTCCACCGATTTCAAATCCTCAGGAGAATGTTACCGCAGCCCACTCACCACCCACCTCCTATTGCCTCTGACGCCCACTGTGGCACAGCCCCCACCTCTCGAGACTTTGCACCAACTGTGGTAAGTGTCTGGTCTTCAGGGTCGCCCTCTGGTGTGGGGTTCTCCTGGTGGTTTATTCCTTCCGTGTTCTGCACGGCTCTTTACCAGTGTGTCTTCTGCTTGTTAGTGGCTTTGCCTTGGCGACGTCCTGTGTTGCACTCTGAGATGGGAGATGGGCTTGGGGGTGATCAGCCAGTGGGGAAGAGAGGCTGCTGGTCCCTGCAAACTGAAACCGCCAGCATCTTAATCCAGTGCTTGTGATATGCGTTCAGCTCCATGGATGCTCCATCCCCCTTATCCAGAGACCCTGCAGGTCCCGGATGGCCAGCCGTTGAGAAGCTGGTGTTGGATAACCAACTGGTCTGGCATGGCTCACACAGTGGGAAGTCCGCTTGCTCTGTGGCCAGATTAAGAAGGAAACCAGTGGTGGGGTCAGCGGCAGGCGCAGGCAGCTTCCAGTTGGTCCTGGGAGCAGACCTGGTGCTCTCTGATGTTCCCTGATTGAGGCTTAGTGACCTCAGGGATCTGCTTCACTTCTGAAAATTCTATGTTTTTTAAACCTGTAGTTCAAACTTTGACTTTGGTCTGTAAAGTCTTTTGAGTTTTGAAATAAGAGAGGTCTGAATCTGTTGCTTCCTCTGAGTCTAAAAGGTTAGGGCTGCGGTGACACTGAGCTCCACTGGAGGGGGTCTAGGCAGATGTGGGGCTGGGTGGTTTTGATTGTGGATCTTGGACAGACGTTTTTTTTCTATACTTTTTTTTTCTTTTAAAGAGATAAGTCTTGCTTTGTCACCCAGGCTCACGATGATCATGGCTAACTTCAGCCTCAACTCCTGGACTCAAGTGAGCCTCCCATCTCCTACCTCAGCCTCCCAAGTAGCTAGGGCCACAGGCAGATACATCACCCTGCGCAGCTAATTTTTTAATATTGTGCAGAGACAGTCTCACTGTGTTGCCCAGGCAGGTCTTGAACTCCTGGGCTCAAGCCACTCTTGCGTTAGCCTGCCAAGTGCTGGATCAGAGGCTTGTGCCACTACTCCTGCCCTGAGGAGTCACATTTTTTCACTCAAATGTGAAACTTTATTGCAGCTAGTTAAGAGGGAGCTTTCAATAAGGCTAGTAAAATTACCTCGACAGTGGACGCACACTGGAAGTCTCGAGTCTGTCAGCAGAGCTGGAGCTGGCAGGTTCTGTCGAGGGTATTGATCTTCACTCCATTGGAACCCATGCTGTGTGCTGCCCTTCAGAGCTTTCAAAGGCATGATGAGCTGGGCGGGGCTCCAGGGCCCCAAATGCCTACATCAGGGCAGTGATAGGCATTCTAGAGCACCATCCTCTCTCAGACCATCACAGCTGACTAAGGTGGGTACCAGTGCTATTGCCCTGTGGAAACCTGGACCTAAAAGTCCTGCACTTTCCTTCCTGCAGTTGATCAAGAACTCGGGCGTCTGTGGGATGTGCTCCCACTGTGCCCTGATGCCTGGAGGAGTCCCATGTCTGTGTGGCCCGGCCGTCGGGCTGGGAGGGCAGCTGCACACACACTGCCTCTCGGCAGGGTTGGAGGCGCCAGCGGCCATCCGTCTTCCCTTGCACGCACACCCCTCTCCGCCAGTCAATACGTCTCCGATGGGAAAGTTAATAAATTTTGCTCTAGATTAAAAGTATTGATCATTTCATTTGTAAACGATAAATAAAAAGGGGGAACTTTTCATTGCACCAGGGGTGGTGTCTGGTGTATTTTGTGGGTGAGATTGCGCTGGCCGCGGGGGTGGGCTTCTCATATGCATTCCTGCTGGCCGCCGCATCGATTTCCTATTAGTCTCCCAGCACCACCCAGTAACACATCATTTCAGTACCTGCTATTAATGGTCTTTTGATAAATAATCACTTGTAAGTCAATAAATTTTTATTAAACAGTGTGGCTCTTTGATTTATTAAAATCCAACCGTGTTTGTCTGGGAGAAAAGGGATGCTGAATTGAAGTGGAGGTTTTCATACATCTTCCTGACGCCAGGCAGTCACCGCACACTCCAGAGAAAAACAATTGCATTTTAACAGAAACAAAACAGCCAAGTTGGGAACTTGGGCTCAGGGAAACTTTATCTCCGTCAGTCTGAGGCTCACTCTGTGGGGAGCAGCTGAGGGCGCTGAGTTAGGAACTTGCTGTTGGTTTCTGAGTGCTGGGTGGGGCCAGGCCCTACTGTCCAGGCCCTGGAGCATGTCCCCTCTGCGGGCGTCAGGTCCACAGCTAGGCTGGACAGGGGACTCTGTAGCTGCCTTCCTGGTGACATTGACACCAGTTAGATCGTGTGCAGGAGGACCTGCTGAGCGACATCAGTTTTGTGGAGATGGCTGTATGGGTAATTTTTGAAAGTGGGCCAATAACTGGAGATCAGAAATCTTTGTGAGATTTTCATTGGTGTGAAACTTGCCACAAAGGTTTTGGCACCTTTTTGCTGAGACAACACAGCCCCAGACAGGTGGTTTTCTATGGAACAACCCAACCACTAAGGGTAGATAGAACCAGAATCCTCAGGGCAGAGGGAAGTTGTAGGAAAGGGGTCCTATAAAAGGAGTGTTTGGAGCAGTCAAGCTCCTTGCCCCTCCAGCCAGTGCTGCTGGCTTCCCATTTGCTGGTGGAGCTGAAAGCAGGTTACTGGTGGGACGCCCAGTGGAGGGTGCTACGGCTTCACCTCCTGCAGGCTGTCCTTGGATTTTCTTTGCTCTCCAGACCTTGAAGGTGACTAGGAAGCTGGAGAGTGGGAAGCAGGTGGGAGTGTCTCTCAGACAGGTGAGTGGAGTGTTAGTGCTGTGGTTTTCAGGAGCATGGGCTGGTCTGTGCCTATGCACAGGAGTCTGCTGAGGCGGCCTAGTGTCCACAGGAGCCCTGGGTGCAGTAGCTGGTGCGGTGGTGCACCAAGCCAGGGGCTCTGACGGCAGCACAGGTGAAGCTTTCAAAACATAAGGGACGTTTTGCATCTGTTTTATGTGTACAAACTTCAAGTCCACCGTACGGTACATAGAAGACCGGGGGACTTAACCTCTAGCCTGTGTCCATTTTACCCTCACAACCCATGGTCACATCCATTCCACTCTCTTAGGTTGTGGGGTTGGAGAATCATCTTGGGGCTTCCTGTGTACCCTAAGGCATGTTAAGCTGTGGGAAACGGGTTACTTGCTTGTCCGCCACCATTACATTGCAGCTGCTTTGGGGAAGTGCAGGGGCATGGTTCTGCTCAAAGGAGAGATGAGAGCATTTGGGCCATCGCTTCTTGATGTCACCAGAGGGCAAGAAGCCAAAGCAAGGGGCAGGTGAGGAGGCCTGACGCTCCCAGAATGGAGCCCTGGTGCTCACCAGAGAGCAGGAAGCCAAAGCAAGGGGCAGGTGAGGAGGCCTGGCGCTCCCAGAATGGAGCCTTGGTGCTCCTGGAGGCCCCCGTGACTTTCTCTCCCTGGACCCCACAGGTCCCAAGCTCATTTTGAGAGTGCTTGAACCCCTCTGAATGGCAGCCTGGGCACTGCATGGCTTGGAAGGTTAGCCATTGTGCACCCCATCCAGAGTTTCAGGCAAAGACATTTGAGGCTCCCCGTGCCCATCTTGCCCTGTGTTGGAGTGTGGACGGACACCTTGCTCCTCCCTGCTGGTCCTGTGCAGCCCTGCAGGAGGGGCTGGGAGGTGCCTAGCCCCCGCGGGTCTCAGCTCCTGCACTCAGCAGCAGGCCAGGCCAGGCAAGGCTGCCTCAGCCGAGATTGATCCCCCAGCTACGATTTGTCATTTCAACTCGGCAGGCGCTGCTTTCTCTTGCTTCAGGAGGCCCCTTCGACACCTGCTTTATTTTTCTTCCTGCCCTGACGTGACGGGAGACAGGTGTTAAACTACTTAATCACTTTAAAATTGTTTTAATTTTCTGTTTTTTATTGATCTCTCCAGCACCAATTAATCAGCTCACTGGACCAGGCAGTTAGTACATTAAAAATTGTCAGGGAGGCCGTGCATCTTACAAAATGTCTAAAAAATATTCAGCTGGCAAATTTCGTTTTTCTTTGGCATGCAACAGTCCTTGGCCCATGGAACTCCCGCTGGGGGAGGGCCTCTGCCTCCAGGCTCTCGTGTCGGGGAGCACTGAGGGTGTGGAAGAGCGCTGGCCGGGCCCTCCTGGAGGCCAAGACCAGGCCGGTGTCCTCACCCCTGTGCCGCCGCCTTCCCTCTGCCTTTGTTCTCTCTTTCTGGAATGTTCCTGGATCTCCCTGCCCAACGACACAGATTTGTGGAAGGCAGCACTTCTTCTGTGCCCTGTGTCCTGACCCCACAGGGCTGCCCATCGGTAACTGCCCCTGTGTTAGATTTCCAGTCGCATGGTTTTTGCGACAATGCCAAAAATACCTCCCCTGGGGCAGAGGCCCACTCAGCTTGGTGGCGTTGCCGGCTCCTGCTGGCAGGCAAT